GTTTTCTCATTTTTGCTCCTGTTTTCTCTCTCTTACGTTACCATTCAGGCCCTGCTTCCCAAACAGGTGCCCTTGGAAAGGAGAAATATCTGAGCTTATGCCAGAATCACTGTCCTTGTTCTTTGGCAAAACCAGGTTTCTCACATGTGTCACATGCAGCACATGCCCTTCCCAGGCAGGTGACTTTCTCAGGGATTTCAATCAGCTAGGATGTGTGTTGCTGTCCGAGGTTTTCTTTCCATCCTTCCCTGTAGCTGATGCAACCACTTCAAATTTTCTTTGCTTGTTGTGGGGAGAAAACAGCCAAGCTTTTCACTCAAGCAGATTTGTGCAGAAACAAGCGTGTGTGTCAAGGTGCCTCTCAGACATCTGAGCATCCCTGGGTGACTGAAGCTCTCATTAAGGGGCTGCAGTCTTGGTCTCACCCTCAGACCTCAGGTCTTAGGAGCCCATGGTGCCTGAACAAGCTTATTGAGTGCAGCTGGCAGAGGCAGATGGCAGATGCAGAAGCTTGTGCAGCAGTTTTTGGGCTCTAAATCAGAGACTGGACAGGTAGAGGCTCTTGGGAGCCCTTTGCAGACTTTGAGGTGAGGGGACCATGTCCACTAGCAAGCTCTCTAGAGTTCATCTGCCCCCTGCAACCTGTATTGCTGTAAGATGCCAATTCACTGAAGCACTTGGCAGGTATTTGCCTGTTTTGGTAACCATTTGCTTGAGTGACCAATGGTGAGTGCACCCAGCCCTGACCTGTATTGCACAGACCATGATTTCACCCTCCAAACCTATGCCCAGGTAAGGCTTTTGCTTGCTCTCCTAAATACCTCAAGAATTTTTATGTACCTAACTTCATCCTGGGCAGGGACTAGCAATGTCTAAAACTGCACCTTTTTTTTTCCCTCTCAGACAGTAAAGTTTTATTTCTTTACCCGCCAAAAAAGTCTGAGAATTTTTATATTGCAAAACTTGATTTATTGTATCACATTTCTCCTGTACTGTACTTCCTTCTCCAAAAGCCTCTTTCTCTGTAGTTCTTCAGATGACTTGTTATGTTTATAAATATATGACATTTGGAAGCGCAGTGGCTAGAGAAGAAGGCAGGGAAAGAGGCCACGTTCCCCCAGGACAGACACAAACAATGTTGGTATTGGAGCCGCCCAGACTTGTGGGGTGGGGTCTCTTCTGAATTGCTTTTCAAATGCTGAAAGCTTTGTGCTCTACCAGGATCAGTTGGGTTTGCTTTTTCGAGAGGAAAGTAAACTCTTAAGAACCCTAGGCTCTTAAATATTGAGGTGGAGTGGTATCAATCAGACAGCCTAGGGAATGTGGAGGTCATCCTGGAGGGTTGCCTCCAAGGCCAGTTTCTCATAGACCCTTCTCACCCTGGATAAGAGGGGGATTTTCTTCCCATGGAGAAAAGTGCTCTAACTGAATTTGGGCAGGACAGCTGTCCACTTAAAAAGTTTGGAGCAATCCAAGGTGCTGCCTGGTGCTTCCTGTCAGCAGCTGTGTAGCCTCCAGGTCACACAGGTTATTTTATTGCCCTGAAGCTTGGAGGCATTGCCAGGGGTGCTGTTTGGTTAATATAGCTGGGAAGGATGATGAGTTAATTCCTTCCTCCTTAATTTTCTCTGGATGAAGCATTTATTTGTGCAGTGTAATTAGTGGGGGGTTGTGCAGGTGTCTGCCACCTGGAGCACACCCAGTTCAGTCAGGAGACTCAAAAATGGGCTGTGAGACTCACAGAGCATGAGAAGGAAGGTCATACCTAGTGGGAATAGCACCTCAAGGAAGATTCCTGCTGCCACCCTACTCACAGCTTGCCCTGAGTCCTCCTTGCCTCCCAGAAGCAGTGGTTGCAGTAGCAGTGTAACCCACTGTGTGAGGAGGGATAGTAGAAGGAGATGAAGGGATATGGGCACCATGGAGGAGTGGAGGAGCTTGCCCCTCACTCATGGAATTGACACATTTTACAGCCCACAGTAGCAGGATAGTAACACTTAGTTGTTTGACACCACCATTAAATTTTGATTCCACTGGCTAAATCCATCAGAGTCTGAGAGAAATCTAGGAGTCTCAAAGTTAACTATATGTTCTCAGCAGATCTATGAAGAGACTCATTAAATTAAGAAGTTGAACCCAGCCATGGATCTACCAAGGGGATCTATGCTTATAGCTCAGTCTACCTGATGCTGATCCAGCATCTTGCCCATCCATATGGTAGTGGAAGCAGAGGGTGGGAACTGATTATTGCTAGGATAGTGAGGATTGATAGGGAACAGAAAATTTAAATCTGTGGAACCACTGATTCCATTAATTTCACTGCTTTTTAAGTGAGGGTGGGGGAGAAGGAGGAAGAGCAATCATTACTTGGATGCTTGTGATTATTAGGACAAATCCATTAGAGCCATGAAATTAATATTCTTAAGTGTGTTAAGTCTCTCATAAGTCACTTTTTTCTTCTCTCAGATCTTTTGCTAGATTGTTAAAAAATAATTAGAGGCCCAGTTAAAGCTCAGGGTGGCCAACCACGTGAATAGGACTGTATATGAGCAGAAGCAAACCAGATAAAAGCGGAAGAAATAGAAGGAAAATCCAGACAGGTATAAAGAAAGTGTTCTCAGAGCCCAGGAAGGGGAGAGAAGCTGAATGTTCTGCCTGTATATGAAATACATCACTCCAGTTAGATTTTTAAGAGATACTACCCTGAAGGGGCTGTTGTGACTTTATTTCTTAAGTGTGTCAGAGAGACACTTCTAAGATACTACATGTATTTCCACTCCCTTTTGTGACAGTTGCAGATTGTAAGTAATGCTTGTTATGAAGACTTGTTCTCAAGTGCCTTTTAAAAAAAGCTGTGGAGCCATACTTATCCAAATTTCTGTGGGGACTTGATAGATTTTCTGCATGTTATACGACTCTCAGCATCTCATGAGCAACTCAAGCACTTTCTATTTAAAAATGACACAAACCCACTTCCCAAATCAGAGTTTGAAACATGACATTGAAATAAGCAACAAAATGTTTGTTCTTTATATTTTAAAAACTAGTAAACATGTTCTGCTCCTGCAAATGCAGATCTCTCAGGTCTGCCTAGACTACAGGCTGCAGGACAGGACTGGGAACCCATTTGTCTCTTTAAGATGGGTGTTAGGGTCTTTTTCTGCATCACCTTAAGTTGGGATCATTCATAATAGGTTGTGTAACAGTACATGGGGGCTCCATTTGAAATAGGTTTTCCTTGGAAGCACTATCAGGCAGGTTTGCTTGGAAACATTCATATTAAAGGCACAGTCTGCCTCGAGGATCTTCTCCCATAGATATATAAGATGAAGGGTGGTGGGGGTAAGGAAGAGCCCATCATGTCACTGGTGAGCCTGGTAGTGGAGGCAGGGGAAACAGCAGGG